TTTTTTTCGCAAAACAGTTTTCTGTCAATTAATCTTATATATTCTTCGAGACATGACAAAGACATAAACGAGACAAAATAATGGCTTTAGTGGGAATACAGATTAAATATATGATATTTATGCTTGCCGCGCAGCATGCGGCCGTGAGCGCAAAAAGTGCGCGGTCCGGAAAGGTTAAAGAACTTTCAGATGATTTGAAATAGAAAGAGCTGCTTCTGGGGTTAATGCCAAAAGTGCTCACCGCGCGCGGCAGTCACCCTGCGATTCAGAATTTTGAAGAAACGGCAGAAAAGGTTGGGTGCTTACAAGTTGGGAGATCTGCCATGTCTGCGAGTCCGTGAAATGGACAATGGCAAAACTTTAGCAGATCTTATGGTCGCTTGTAGAATTGCTATCTTATGTTCTCAGAATCACAATAAGTGTCCTAGAATATCTACTAGAACTTATATAAACTGTAGACACCCCTCTTTTACAATTCCTGTTCTCGGTCACTAGCCACAATCGAGCAATGCGTATTCGTCGTATCCAGGATTCACGCGTATGCACATTCCGCAATCATTTCAATGCAACAGCCTTTCCCTTAAAAGTGCCTGTCCACAAGGGCAGGCAACTGCCACTTTCGCGACTGCAGAGTGCGGCTAGGAGGCAGGGTCAATCGTGCGCTGCACTGATTTCAAAAATTTTACGACCATCTCCTTCAGGGACGATACGACCCCCTCCCCCCACCAGGAAGAACATCAGCCTTGAGTGCTCCCTAATACTTCCTCCCCATTCCCAACCAATACCGTCACCGTCCTGGCTGTTTCTATAGTATTTGATTTTTTAATTCTGAGATCATTCTGTATGGCTGAAGAAACAGAAAAGTCCTCTAATTTTCCCACTTGATGCTTTTTCATGAAGTTTTACTCAAAATTGCCACAAAACCCGTCAAACACGCCCCCAGCTCTGCTACCACTATTCCATCTTTAACTTTCGAAAATCGGCCCCCTTCCTTCACCTTTTGGCCTTCACTAACCCAAAATACGACCTCCTCACTCAAATACGACCCTACTCCTCTTTGTTGAGAGCACCGCAACGCACGGCTGATCCTGCTAGGACTGTCACCTGGGTGAGAGTGATTGACACCGTTACTCATCTTGGGTTTCCGTCGCACTCACCGTTCTCTTCTGGTCTCCTCGGTCCGCCGTGAATTTTTGTTGTAGCGCTGTAAGGCTCACAAAAGGAGGCTTGTAATTTAGGGATTTTTGGACGTTTCTTCTTCTGTTTTTTTTTCTAGCAAAAAACTATGAGTAGTTTGTATAGTAAATTATACCTCGGCGAGAAATTTATTGCTAAACGAAACAGTCGCGTTTATTAGTGACAACATCGTACAGGGAAATTGTCCTAACTTTTCTGCTTCAGTCCATAAATGTTGCCTGAGCTCCTGCGGCTAACAAATTTACCGCGCATTATTGTCGCCTACGGATACACAGCATATACTTTTGCTTCACACAAGTGTGTATTAGAGACTTACTTTCAAACAACATAACAGCCGTTTATACAGTTTGAGGCACTTTTTCGGAAGAATTGTTAGGGCTCGTAGAAACGGCCCGACTTTCATTTGTGAAGCGCTAATGTTTTCTGTCGCTTGGCGACGTCGCAATAATGAAACTAATGGTAGACTTTAAAACAGCTCATGCACTACTCCGTACTCCCCCCCCCCTAATGGGGAAATTTGAAAGGGATCGACGTGAAGCCAATCACAGCTTAGACTTCCCATTTTTTGATGCGTTCTCGTCCGAAAATACTTGAATACCTTCAAAATAGGGTCTCATGGAACGCCCTCTCGAAGCTATTACCTAGTTGATAATTACCTCCTTTAGATGCAGATTTAGTGAAGATATCAACATGCATTTGGTTCTGCTCTAGAATTCACTGTTTTTTTTTCAATGTGTAGGTCGGACTAGTTTACAGAGGAATCCCAAATAATTAATTGATTCTTGCACTACGTTCCTTTTCAAAAAACCAGAGGTACTTTGCACTGCCAGCGACCATACACCGCAGAAAACCAGAGGCGCGTCGAGTGCAGATACACCACAACTGACGACGGCCTCCAAGTAATCTGGTTACTAGTGATTCATAGTGATAGCTGATTTCTGGTAAATGATAGTTGTAATTAGTGACAACTGATAGAATACAACTGCAACAGGCTAATCATTTCATTGGCAGAAAACATTTACATTTTGTGGAGGCCGTCGTCACTTGTGGTGTGTGGTCTGCACCCGACGCGCTTCTGGTTTTCTGAATCGGATTATTGGGCTTCAGTGTTTTTCAAAGTTTTTGTGGGAGGCTCTCGAACTTTCACAGAGTCTCTCAGGTTCTTATTTCCATTGAAAAAATGGTGAAATCATATGAAGCTGAGAAGTTGAGGTCCTACTGCAGTTAAGCTGGAATAAATGATGTTGCCTTCGAACGAATCACTTCTAAAGGTTTTGCGGGAACTCCCTAGTTGTATTGGCACTATTGTAAAATATTTATGTCACTATAGTCGCAAGAAGTATGTCCAATGTTATCACCAAGTTTCCTCTTCATCTGCTTGTACGTCAGTTCGCCGTATAGTATCGTATTACTATGCATTGCTTCAGGTCGTCGCTTCGTCGACAATGCTCAAGGGCAAGAAGAAAGACAAGGAGGGAAAAGATAAGGTAATTTGAACACGATGAACTAATTTACTTACCACAAAAGTTTTGTCTCGTATTATTTATCTTTTGATCAAGGCAGAGAAGGATAAGGACAAAGAAAAGGACAGTAAGAAAGATAAAAAGAAAGAAGAAAAGGAGCAGCCCAAAGAGATACCTATTATACAAACTGAGGACCTTAGCAGTAAGTTAATTCGGCTTAAGCATTCACTAATCTTGATAGAGTGTCATCGGTATTTTCTGGTGAGGTTCGAGTGAATTCTTTCTTCAAGGTAATGATAACGGCGCACCGCCTGATGCTCCGCCCCCAACTTCTCTGAAAAAAAGCAACTACGGAGGCGGTATGTTCCTTTTCTTACTCTTATTTCTGGAATTCGTACTACTTGCTTCCAAAGAATTTTGTTAATTAAAATAGAAGAGATCTTATTTCCTGCCTCATTTGACTTAAAAAATAAAATTATCACATATAAATTACTTCGTGAAGGTACATCGGTGTCAGGGTCAGGTTATACTTTGCAATTCGTTTTGCAATCTGAATTGTGAAGAAGAGCGTGTTTATGCAATTCCGCGATCGCATGTTTGATCGATATGCATCTACTCAAGAAAAAAAAAGGTCGTAAAATTGCAGAATCGAAAAATAGCAAAGTGTGACCGACCCTCCATTTAGAAAGTTAGAGTACTAGGCTGTAGTATGCCTAAAGATATATCAGGATGTCGTTCGGTGTAAATAAATGGTCTTCAAGGATCTAACTCTGTTGCTTAGTATAGAGTACTTCTTAGGCCAATTTCATTGACAAGACTTATTCTACGTAATCATTTGTTTTTGTTTTGTATACAACATGTTTTTTGAAATTAAAAATACAGCTGGATCGCTAACTTCTTCCTATATCAGGTTTTCTATTGGGAAGAATTGAGTTCGCGCGGGTATGTTATGGTGTTAAAAAGGCTAAGTGTGCCAAATAACATAACAGTAGCTACTTATGCCTTCTAGATAAACTAGGCTTTGCCATAGTGTCTCTTTAAATCTTAATTAAATTTTTTTTGCGATGTTTACGGTTGTTTTTAAGGACCTGTTATACCTCGGCGGGATCGTCGACAGTCCAGCAGTCTGTTCAATGTTTCATCGAACAGGGAGCTTGTGAAGTTGCCTCCTATAAAAGGTAAGGTGAAAAGTCACGTTTCGGTGTTTTTTCTACTACTTTTTTGACGGTATTCTGGTTGAACTTCTCCTACAGTTTGAATATTTCCGTGTTTTCATCATATTTGTAGTTCTTATTGTAATTATGTAAGTAGCACTAAAGTAGCGACTGCGATCACATTCCTTTCTCTTGTGGTGAAAATGGTCGAATAGTGTCTACCAATTCAAGAATCGCCTTGGCCACTGCATACTAGTAAACAGGGAACAAGTTCGCTGTTTCCTCTTTAGACGTGCGTAACGCAGTTGTTTTGACTAAGAGAAGTTGTTGTGATGTTTCAACACTGCCAAAGTGTATAATGGGGAGCAGATTCATGTTGTAGTGTCTGCGGAGAACAAAACATGGCAATCCTTTAAACGAAAATTGGAAAAGTTCTAAGAACTGTAAATTATTGCTAAGGGTGGCTTCATGTTGTACCTAATACTTTGTTTGTTCTAAATACTTTATAACGGTGAGATCAGGATAAACAAAGAAGGAGCAAGGAAATGAGCTAGACCTGTTGGAGCGGTTATTTTAGAAACCATGTGTTTTTTCTTGTCAAGCGTTTTCGGATAGGTGCCTAAGCTGTCGGAACATTTGAGCGCTCTTAGGGTCCATATAGCATGTATACAGCTTGTGCCTAACCTAAGTTGTGCAGGGCTAAATATGGAGAGAAAGAGCGAGGGCCTCTTTCGTTGGTTGCTTTGCCACGTTTGCGGTGCACTTGAGGAGAGCTTGGGCTGATGTGCGGTGTAGTGGATTGATATTGGATTGCATGTTGTAGGTGAGCAAACATCTCGCTTAGAGAGAAGAATTGATTCCGGATGTCGATATACATTCTGGGAGTCGTAAAGTGAAGACACTTTAGACATTTAAGAGGCGGTTTTTTCTGATTAGGACTGGCTAGTTTTTGCGAGCTGCTGTCACTGTTTCATTATTTCTGTTTTGTTTGTTTTCCTTTTTTTGTGCAAGCTAGAAAGCAGGCTTTTTTATAGATGCCGATCCATCGGAACGCGAAGATTTGTTTATTCAAAAGTTACGACAATGCTGCGTGGTGTTCGAGTTTGCACAGGATCCGTTAAGCGATATGAAATACAAAGAGGTTCTCTTTCAACGAATTTCCTTCTATCCTTCACTATCTAGCATTTTGTTTTGTCAGTGATTCAGTGTCAGTGAGCAAGCAAATTCTGTATAATGATACAGATTGCCTGGTTTTTCCGCATTCTGAGGCAACTTATAGTTCGCAATCACACGGTCATATCACACAACCGAATGTTGGGTAGAGACATGCTTGTCGTCCGATCGTCTTATTCATCGGATCGTGGAATCGTGCGATCGCTGGGTCAGAATTTCTAACCCGGGTTTGGTTGTGTATCGGTCCGATCGGATGGTTGCGAAGTATAACTGCTGGCCTGAAGAAGTGAAGCTCACGAGTGGTTGTTTTGTTTGTGAAGGGAATCGCTTCTCATGTTTCTGATTTGCTAGGTGAAACGAGCAGCATTGAACGAACTCATTGACTATGTGTCGACGTGCCGTGATGCCATCACTGAAAATGTTTATCCTGAAGCAATTAATATGGTAAGTTGAAACCAAGAGTGTTTTGAGAATGGAACGTTTCGTGCAAGTGAACAGTGTGCATTGTTATTTCTCAAAGATGAGAGGGATCCTGTTGAATGCTTCATTCTTCGTAACAGCGTTTGTTCAGTTTGCTCTCAACTTATTCCGACCGCTTTCACCTCCAACGAACCCCGTAGGTGCCGAATTTGACCCTGATGAAGACGAACCGACGCTCGAAGCTGCATGGCCACATTTGCAGGTGATCATTTCCGTC